TGGACTGATGGGCATAGCTGTCAGTCTTATTTCCTCTTGCTTATGTTGGTCATCACAGGGGCTCTTTGGAGCAGGAACATACACGCACACACACACTCTCACACACACACACAGTTTCCATGTGTGGCCATATTTTGCAGAGATCAGACCCGAATCTGTGCTGCTGTATACAAAGGACTAGACATAAAGTCAATAAGTGTGACTTCATACAGCTGTAAATTTTCTCATCCTGTCATCTTCCCATTCAGGGAAGAAAGATGTGAGAATCATGCAGATTCAGGAGCAGAGGTTCATGGAAAGACTGAGAGTCTCCTGATCCCAGCATGGATGGTGGCTCCTTCTGGAAGTAGCTGTGTTAGTGGTAGGGTTTATTAGGGCAGTCTATGCCCCCACAACTACCTTATTCTTGCTGGAGGCTGCTTACTTTGTACCTCAGCTCTGCCAAGCAAGTTGCTCATGTGAAAGCTCTTTAATTTCTGCTTTTTAAAGTCAAACTAAACCTGTCATATTTGACATCTGTCCTTGGGAGATGAGAAAAGAGCAGCAGGGAGAGCTGCCTCCATTGGTGGCTGTCAGAAAAGGATGTTTGGCTACAATCTAATCATAACAGATATGAGTGAGTCTACACATAGATTGATTAATACTGATTAAGAAGGTGTATCTGGGAACTCTCCCAAAGCTAACTGACAGTGGAAAACAATCTTTTTCAGTGAATTCTCTGGCATGAAGTAATTTGGTTAGCAGAAAGAATGGAAAGATGAAGCAAATCAAGGATGGGAGAACTAAATGGGATTTGAGGTGATGCATTCGGTTCCTGGCTCTCCACAGACTTACAGCTTGATGTTGCCTGAGCTCACCAGTCTCTTTGGACATCCTTTCCAAGTATGTACAGGTATGACAGCGGGAATAACTTTTCTCTCTCCTATTTTTATCAGGATCAGCTGCATTATTCTCTGTTTCCTGTGTGTGTGGCTACAACACACAGTGCATCTGGGAAGCCTTAGCTGGGGTCCCTGGCCAGCTTTGCCACACATTAAAAAACAACAGCAAAAAGGTGGTCAGAAACAAAGGCCAAAGCAGATCTCATTACTTCTTTAGTGGTTCATTAGAAACTAGCCTAAGGCCTGGTGCATGGCAGGCTGTTCCTACAATTCCTCTGAAGGTTGATCTCTTCTGCTCTGTATTCAACTCCATGAATACTACATTCCTCTTTTCATTCCTACTGAGCCTACCTAAAGACTGACAGCTGTATGGCATACTACTCTTGTCTGTGAAATGGATTATTTTCCACAATGGGCTGAGATGAGATCAGAATAAGGGAAACAAAGTTGGTTTAAAAAAAAAATCAGCAGTATATTCCCCTCTTTTTTATGAATAATGTATAAATTCATATAGTGAGCCTAATAATTAACGTTTTTTTGACTTATTATAAAGTGCTGAAGAATGTCTAATGAATACCACATTATCTATTCATTTTAAGTTCAAGTATAATTCTGAGGTATCATTAACTACAGCTTCACCTAACTGTATATATCAGAGTCAATGGGATGTTTTATTTTAGGCTTTAAATCTTTTAATTCAGCTAAAAAGTGACTCTAGTATGTGACTTGGTAAATAATGTTAAAAATAGCACTTTTACACTGTAATCATGCCAGGAGAAATGAAAGAGTAGCCGAAGTGCAAGAAGTTATAAATTGCAGAAGACATCTATGTCATCTGAAGAAGCAAGGTCTCCTGGCAACATATTCTCTCTTTCTAATTAGTTAAAAGAATTATACAGGCAGAAAAAATGGGCAAGTTTATTGATTATTTTTTTTTCACATTCCTACTCTACAATAGTTTTGCTCATTTACTGTATGTAAGAATACTTTGAGTGTGCCTGAGTCCCCTTCATGACTGGGACTGGGAAAAGTCAACACATTTGGTTGTTCTTGGCCTCACCCTGCAGAACAATGTGGCTGTTCATCCCCAGCACCTCCTTAAGAGAGGCTTTAAAGGATGGTTATACTCAGAGAAATGCCTAAACATGCTGCTACTTTTGTTGTCCTTGTATGGTATCTAGTTCAAACTTGCTTTGTCTGTCGGTAACAGGACAATGTTTCTAATTGTCAGCTCTGCATATGTGATAAAGACCTGAAAGCAGAGCTGAGTGTTTTCTTGGCTTACCATCAATAATCGCAAAGGTGCTGACACTGATGGATAGCTGGGGTGGACTGTGTGTGACTGAGTAGGATCTGGCTCTTCTCAGCTGCCGGATGCTGAGAGGATGCTTAACTTCCCTGGTGCGGCTCTTGCAAGGAAGGTGTTTTCCTGTGTGTGGCTGCTGTTTGGGTTATGAGCTTCCCACCGCTGCGTTGCTCAGTGTTTGCAGCCTCGCAAGGGTCATGTGCAGGAGTGACGATCGCTCGCCCTGTGACACAGCACCAGTCGGTCCCACCACTGGCACCCTAAAGTCGTGCCGCTTACGTGAGCCTGAAGTGCACTCACAGGAATTTGGCCCGTGATTTTCCTGCCTGTATCACAGTTGCGTGACAAAACTGGGTCCTCCTGTGAATCTGAGCAAAATGCAGAAGTAGATTATATTCTGCATGGAGCTATTCTAAGCTATTTAAAAGCGAATAAAAAGCAGCGCAGGGAAACTAAAAATAACACGACCATGCTGCGGAAAGCATGGATGTGCCATGTCAGAAGCAGAGTTAGGGAAGAGAAACTTAGCCTGGTCCAGTTCAAGGCAGGGCTGGTTAAATTGATGCTAATGATGGTGCGAAAATGTGCAGCGGGTTTTAAAGCGGCTTCTCCCCGTTCAGTGCAGATGCTGTAACCCCGGGGGCGAGTCGCACCGCTCTCCATCGAACTGAAACCGATACAAGTGGGGCGGGCAGCCCGAGGCCAGCCCGGCGCTGCCCGGGGAAGGGGCGGAACGGCCGCGGGTGCTGCTCCCGGAGGGATGTTGCGTGTTCGCTGCGACCCTCGGGAGCCCCGGGTTGCGCTGGCACCGCGCGCTGCCGAAGCGCGGGGAGGTTCAGGGCCGCCTGTTCCCATCCCAGCCCTGCCAGACCCCCTTGGACGGGGCGGCGCCTCCGCAGCCCTTTGGGGACGCTCCCTCCATCCCTCTCTTGGCCGTTTTCTTCTGCCGCGATCGCGGCCGCGTGAGCGGCCCCTTCTGGTACCCGACAGCCCCCTCCCCGCCGGCCTGCTGCGGGGCTGGGGGGTCCCTTCCGCGGCCGCTGCTCCGGGCGGTGCCTGCCGCGGCGGGGCGAGCGGGCCGGCGGTGCCCCTGGCGGCGGCGCGGCGTCCGAGCCAGGCGGCGCTGCGGCGTCTCTGACTAGCGGTGGCGGGCGGCGCGAAGTTGACCCTGTCCGCGCAGCCGGGGCCGGCGGGGGAGCGCGCGGCGGTCGCCGGCCGCCGATCCGGTACCAGTCCCCATCGACCGATCCCGAGCCCCATCGCGCGGTCTCCGCTCCGCCGCGACCTCCACGGCGGGAGCGGCCGCGCACACGGCCGCCGCGGCACCATCGGCCCCCAAAAAAGCCTCGGCTTCCCCTTGCCTGTTCCGCGGAGCGGGGGGGAACGCACCGCATGGGAGACCTAGAGGGAGCCCTGGGAAGGGGAGCCGTGCAGCGGCGCGCGTCTCGCGGCAGCTCCCTTTTTTAATTTGAAAGGAGAAAAGAAATCTTCCCTCAGAAAAAGAAAAGTTCGGGTGTAAGGAGTCCCCCCCTTCGGTGCCGCCGCTGCGCGCGGGACGGGGCTGGGAAGATGCGGCTGCCGCCCGCTTCCCTCCCGCAGCTCCGGAGCAAGGTAGGGAAGGGAGCCCCGGGGGTCACGCTGGGCCGGGGCGCTCCCGGTAGGGGCCTCCGGCAAGGGAAATCACCCGCACTCCGGCTCCGTCCCCGCGGCGCCGACCGGTCTCAGGAGCAGCTGCTCGGGGCCGCGGCCGGAGCCGTCCGTGCTGGCGCGGCCACTCCACCGCTCCCCGGATCGAGCCTGCGGCTCTGGAGGCGCCGGGAGGGTTTTTCTGTCACGAAGGGCGGTCTGAGTTAGTACCGAGGGTCTCTCACTCAGCGCCGCGAGCGCTCGTGGGGCTTCCCGGGTAAAGTGTTACTGCCGGGGATTTAAAATAAAAGCACGAGAGCAGTTGCCCTTTGGGATGTTGCAGCGCGGTGGAGCCTGTTGAAGAAGTATCGGTTCTTTGGAGGCTTGGCTGCTTTGAGGTACCGCGGTGGGTCCAGAACACTGGGACTTGAAATCTCTCGCTGCCTCCGAAAATTCCGTGGCAAATAAGGCTGCTCTGGTTTCTTTTGGGGTCTGACGGAAACCTGCTAAAGGGCACAAAACCTGTCTCAAACAATTGATTCAGCGGGTGTTTTCAAACAGCCTGTCCCTAGGCTGCTGTCTCTGCTAGGATTCGAAGAATCGAAAGTTTCTGGTAGAAAATGCTGTAAGCTGCGGTTTCTCAAAGTTCCAGTGAGGTCTGTGTGCTTTGGGCAATTTTTGCTTCTTTTGGATTAAGACGCAAACTTAGGTTTGTACTGCGAGGAAAAACCCATCGTGGCAGGAGACAGCACTTTGTCGTGCTCCTCGGCAGTGTTTATGTTGTCTTGTTTTTATCCTGATTATTTAAAATATTTGTGTAGATTTTTAGTGCGTGTGTGCGGTTTTTGGGTGTTACAATATTACCATCAGAGTGCGGATAGTTTTGAGGTTTTTCAGAGTATTCTTAGAGGTGGGTGCAAGGCGAGGTGACCTGCTGGGGGAGGAGGGAAAGGCAGGGGGCAAGGGCTATTTCAGGGTGCTCAGGTGCTGCGTGATTATGGTTGCATCACTCCTGAGAGAAGCACTCGCCCCAAATGCTTGCTGTCCGTGCCTAAAAGGGGATGTTATTCCTCGTCAGGGATAAAACTGTGTGGCTGCCTGACAGTCTGTGATATCTGTAAGAGCAGGTGACTGCCTGCCCTGCTTCTGTGTAGTGCATGGGAAGGGACTTCCCTCCAGAGGCAGGAGCTGGCCAGCCCTGAGGAGGACATGGTGTCTGAAAGGCTTTGCTCGTGCCAGACCCGAGGCAGGAGGTAAGTCTGGAGGACAAGCTGCCTGACAGCAAGTCAGTCTCTTGCTTTGCAATAGAGTGACTGCAGAGGAGACAGTGGAACCCGCTAGGATTTGGGATTTTGGGCTCCCTAAGCCAGCAGGGTGCAATGCATGTGCAGTAAACATTAGAAGTAGAGTTCTGGCAGTTCACCAAGGCACAGTCAGTGTTCATAAGGATTTGGCGAGTCTGTGGTTAAGCAAGCGTTGTGCAGGTGATGTGCAGGATGGCTTTCTGAGAAATTACTAAGGTTTGCATCCTTGTGAGGATAGGGCATAGGAGACCTCTTGCAGTGGGAGGACTGGGGCATGGTCCGACCTCCACGCAGAGTGCTTGTGTTGCTAGGCAGCAGCTTGCACCTCCAGCGTGCTCCAGATCCGAATCTGCGAGGGGAGTCCTTCCTCTGCTGAACTAAAGCTTTCCAGCTGGTGATCAAGGGTGTTGGAAAGCACATATCCTGCGTGCCTGGGTGTGTGCACTTATGGCCCACACCTGGGTACCAGGGAGGGGTGATCAGCTGGGAACGTTCAGCTAGCTGATAACAAGACTTCCTTGTACTCACCCCCCTGCTTGAGCTGCAGGTGAGCACAGGAGAGAGAGGAATCTTTGGTTGTTCCCTTTGTAAGGCTCAGGAGTTCTCTGCAGACCACTCTTTTACTTTCACATTGCTTAGAAACTCATAGGAGGTTCATCTTCAAATTGTTTCGTGATTGATGCTTTACCAGCAAAATGGGGAGGGAAGGGGAGGGAAAAGGGAAGAAGATTTGCTTGCATGAGAAGTAAGAAAGGCCAGGTGTGCCACATTAATGCACTTAGCGAGTTTGAGTCAATTTTGGTGGATGCCATGCAATTGCTGGAGCCTCTGTGCATACGTGGCATCAGCCAGTGTTGTCTGAACTGCTCTGTGTCTCGCAGAGCAGAGCGATGGAAAGCCTTTTAACCTTCAGAGCTGCTGGTCTGATGGCTGCACTTTGAAGCAGTGCAGTAGCTGAAGCTGTTGGAAACCAATGTGGGGGGACTGACCATTCTCCAAACAGAAGTCAGATCAAAAAAGAGCCTGTGAGTGTCTGGAGGGATTCGTAGGCTGGTGGGGTGAAGGTGAGCTCAGCAGAAAGGCTGTTCTTGTGGCACAAATAATTTCTGATCAGGCAGAGATTGGTGGTGTGGGAGAGGGAGGAGGAAGTTTCCTGATTTGATGGAGGTTGGGGGCCTCAGAAGAAGCTGGACTTCGCAGCCTTAAGCCCAGATGAGGCTGCAGAGGAGTGTGGAAGCAGAGGCAGGTAGGAGCACACTAACTGGGCTCAGGATCTCATGGGTGTTGTCCCTTGCCACCCTAAGCTTGAGCCATGGAGGGTTTAGGCTTTTGGGAGCTGCTGGGGGCAGTTCCCGGCAGAGGTAACGGGCAGCTTGTGTATGGAGCAGTGTGTGTGTGAGGAGCCCAGCAGAGATGCAGACAGGCTGCTGGAGAGCAAGGAGGAGGGAATGGGGACAGCGTGTGAGGCCCATACCCCTTGGTGTGCTCTACCTGCTTGGATGTGACGGGAGCATCCAGGCTCTCAGGCTGGGATGTGTCTGTAAGGGGATTTGGTTTGTTTGCAAAAGCAGAGTAATTTTTACCCTGACTACAGCTGTTTCCTGGGAGAGAAGGGTACATGTTACAGTAATCAGTTAAAGCTAAGGAGAACAGTGTCTTCTACGTGGCATTTGGAAGGGAGAGGCTGTTAGTTCAAAATTTTCTGTGTCCTGAGTTGTGATGCCCTTGTGGGACCAGAGGTGGAGGAAAAGTTCCAGGGAGCATGTGCAGGCAGCCATCCCTACTGGCTGGGGGCTGGCTGAGGTGGGAAGCTGGCAGGGATGGCTGGGGCTGGTGGCCTGGACCTGTGCATCTGAGGGAAAGGGCTGAGAATTTGTACTCACTGTAAGAAGTACAAATAAAGCATTTATAATGTATGGACTTTTCCTGCTCTCCAAAACATTCATGCTCGGAATAATCTCTCACTTCAAACTCAAGCACAAGCTGAAAATATCAAGGGATGCTAAATCGTGAACAACTATTAAACAGCCTTAAAGGGCTGTATGGGAAACCATGTCTGCTTGTCATTTCTAAGCCTTCCTCAAACAATGTGAACTATTTATCAGGAGGTCTTTAGTGCTGGAAAGGGGAGTGAACATTTAAAGTGTATTGCAAAATAAAGAGGCACTTTAAGAGGCAATTTGCTTTTCAGGATGTCAAACTAAACATAAATCTTCCTTTAAAGAGCCTTGACAAGAAGACAGAGGGAAGAGATCTTGCCCTTGCTGAAAATAAATAGGATCTCTTTGCTAGCCTTGACGGTCAGGGTTTCCTGTGGCATCTGGTACTAGACTCAGGTAAACCTTCCTGGAATAGGTGGTGGACTGAGGGATGGGTTATGTTCAGTGACAAAGCTGGTGAGAGAGAGACTGTGTGTTAGAAACTTCTGCAGGGGTTTTGGCTGATCCTTTTCATCCCAAAAGCACTACAGAGAGTTCCTTCCACCCCTCTTCTCACTGTTTTATGTAAAAATTAAATTAACGAGGATGTCTATTTGGTAGAGCAATTTCAGGGCACATAAGGTATGTATTTCACTTTAATTTTGGGTGCATCAGAAAAAAAACCCATTGTTTTCAAGATTTCCATAAAATATGTGGAAGGAATATTCTGTAAACATTTTCTCACGATTCTCAAATTCTGGGGAGAGTATTGTTTGCTTGCTTGCTTAAATTCTTATTTTCATCCAGATAAATATGGCAGTACATATATGTAAAGGCCAGACTCTGGTTATGTAAGGGGAAAAAAAATCCCCATCAAGAATATGTTTATCACTTTAAGGTACTGAGGTTGTGCTGAGTTCAGTGAAAGCATCTTGCCTCTGTTTGGCAGCCAAGTGCCCTGCCTGGCTTCTCTGGAACTGTGTTTTCTAAGTGAAAAACTGTAGAAGAGTGTTTTATAAGAAGCGTAACAGCTGGTATATCATCTTTTTCTGTTAATTCTGTCTTCTTTGAGCATTAGGTATTAGTTAGGGAAGCATGTGGCCACGAATGAGATCAGGGAATGAATTTCTGAGCACATCTCATGTGGAGTTGTGTTCTCTCGGAGCTTGTTTCATTAATGTGCAGGAGTGAATGTGGATCAGCTTTGCCATCAATAGTGCAGATATTGTTATTGTGTTAATACTGCAGAGGTGTGAGTGTATATAGGAGCAAATATAATGTCAATACAACTGACAGTTATAGCTGCAGTCCATCTTCTATGTGGTCCTGGAAAGGGGACTGTTTTAAGACACTGTAAAAACAGTTTCTCTATAAAAGCAGGGAATGTTTCAGCATGCAGATGGCAGCCCAGTCTAAAATCTAGTTCTCTTTGTGCTGAGCACCTCCATAACGAGCCTTGAGGAACACAAGGGGAAGGAGAGAAGCAGTATGGGGGGGAAGAGGAGGGATATGCTATCTTTCAGGATTGAGGCCTCTTTTTGAACTGTCTCCATTTTTAATAGCTTTTCTGCAAAAGCTGCTTGGGAAGCACGATTGGTATGAGTATGAAAGAAGCAAAGCATCTAATCTTTTGGCTTAATAATGCTCCTGCGTAGGCAGCTGTGAATTGGACAGACTTCCTTATTGATATAAGAGCAGTGTGCAGTGAGTGAAATTGGTGTGGGTGAAAATGGTCTTTTCTCATCTCTTTTAATCTGAAATGTCTTCTCCTTTTGTAGTTGAGGCTCTGTAGAGGGGACCTGTGATCCCTGGCAGGGCTGTCTAAAGCACTCAGGAGAAAAGACCCACGACCTGAGCAGTGGTGTTTGTTCTGGGTGTCAGCGACTGAAGAGCTGGAGTCAAGTGAAGCCTTGGGTTTTCTGGAATTTGCAAGGTTTATCAGCAGCTCTGGAGCCTAAGAATTCTCATCAGCAACGAGGGTTTTTTTACTCAGAGTTCTGAAAAGCAGGATTCAGAGTCCTTTTTGTTCTGAGCGGAGCTTCTCCACAGCCCAGGGTGGGCTGGGTGGGCTGAGTCTGAGAGAGCAGCCTCGGAGTTGGCCTCTGCCCAGAAGAAGTCTGCCCTTCTGGGACAGTGCCCAGCAGCCTTCTCAGCTTTGGGAAGCATATGTGGTCATTCAGGGCTGGGGCTCCTCTTTCCCCTTGGGTGGCTCTGATTACTGCTGCAGTTTGGGAACTGTCTTGCTGTAACTGTCAGTTCTAGGACTTCAGCTGATTTAAAATGATTCTTAAAATCACTCCCTGTTCCACAGTGTAAGTGCACATGTTTAGCTTTCCAAGTGTAGACTGTCTTCACATTTTCTTCTCTCCCTCAACTGGCTTTTCTGTAATCTTTTAAGTACTTCTACAGGGTGGTAAGAGGCTAAGCCCCACTCTGTAAAACTAACCTCTCTGGGTCTGACAGTCTTTACATTTCCTACAGTACTTCATGTTGCCTGAAGTACTGTATTGATTAAACCACAAGCTGCAGAAGTAAATATATGTAGAATATTAATAGCTTCAACTCTAGGAGGGAAAAAAAGCCTGTAAATTAATTGATCCATTATGTTGACCTCATAAACCACGAGGGCTTGCAGTACAGCTGTAATACTCCTCCCACAACACTTATTTCACTTTGAATGTCTATAAAAGGACTGGACTACTCAAATTTAAAAGCTGTGATACTGGACAAGCATATCCATCTTTCCTGGGATGTGTAGTTAGAATATTGCAATGTAAAGGCTGGAACAATAGTTCTCTGTAGAATCCAGGGTAGTGCTGAATCAGTACATCACTAATGGTGCAGCTGGGCATGAGGCTTAAAAAACAATAGTTAACTTTCACACTCCTTTGTCAGTCTTGTTCCTCATTACAGTTGCTTTCTGCATTTCCAAGTGCAGGAGTTGCTGCAATAGGGGACAAGTACAATTGAGGGATTTAAAATCCAATTTGAAGATATAATGAACTTGAATTCTGTGTGAGGGAGTTGCTT